GCGGGCCGGCGAGCGGTGCCGGCCGGGAGCTGTAGTTCCGCACGGGCTGGGGAGCCGCCGGAGGCCTGCGGGGAGGCCGAGGGAAGCACGGAACCACCGCGGCTGGAAGAGACCTGTGAGAGCATCGAGCCCAGCCTGTGAGTGACCCCCACCTGGTCAGCCAGCCCGGAACGCTGAGTACCAGCGGTTCCCTGGACACCGCCAGGGATGTGGGCTCCACCACCTTCCTGGGCAGCACCTTACAATGTTTAACAACCTTTTGCGTGGCGAAATTGTTCCTGATATCCAACCTGAACCTCTCCTGTTGCTTGGGGGTATACCCCAATACCCTGCTGTCAGGGAGTTGTGTGGAGCCAGAAGGGCCCCCCTGAGCCTCCTTTTCTCCAGGCTGAGCCCCTTCCCCAGCTCCGTTCCCTTCCCTGGACATGCTCCAGCCCCAAAATGCCCTTTCTGAAGTGAAGGTCCCAGAACTGACTCCAGCACTGCAGGAGTGGCCTCACCAGTGTCCAGTCACTGTCCTGGTCCTGCTGGCCACACCATGGCTGGGACAGGCCAGGTTCCAGTGGCCTCTTGCTCACCTGGCCACACCTGGCTCACGTTCGGCTGCTGCTGACCAACACCCCCAGGGCCTTTCCCAGCAGGCACGTTCCAGCTCCTCCACCCCAGCCTAGAGTGTTCCATGGGGTTGGTGTGGCCAAAGGATTTAAGATCTTTACTTTTTATTTCACCTGGATCTCATTATCAGCCTCCTGAACCTGCTATATCTATTAACTTTGTTCAGTCATAAGCTTTCTGCAACAGTTTTGCTTTTAATCTTCCTTCCACAGTGTTTCCTACAGGGACTATTCCTTGCCCCATAAACTCTCCACAAAAGCAATAAAAATGTAAAAGTGAACCTGTCATAGAAGTATTAGCAGGCAAAACTTAAAGAAAGGCCCTGGAAACTCCGTCACTGAAATACTCAGCTGCTGGCCATCAAGTGTTCAGCTCCTGTGGTCTCCTGTTTATGTTTCATCCATTTTTATTTATAATTTATTTTTATTTAAATTAAATTTAAATTAAATTTAAATTTATCTCTGGCCCTGCTGTGCCCATGCTGAACACAGAACAGTACACAAGACAAGCCAGGTGGAAAAAAAAAGAATATTTTAGAGATGTGGGTAGGAAGCATCCAAAATCAGGTAGAAAAACGTTTTAAAGCAGAGATATCTGTATGTGCAGAGCAGTATTACTGCTTGCTGTGTTTAATTACAGACAGCTTTGTTTTGCTGCTTTGGATGGAGAGAGGAAAAAGCCAGCAGAGGTAGTGGCCACACACCAACCTTCCACTGTAAACACCCAGAAAGAAGGGCTGGGGGAAAGTTTGTTATTGCTCCATGGGAGTCCAGCAGCACAGGGGCACAAGAGTGACACAAAAATGGGCTGTGCTGTCACGAGGCCTTGTTGGCCAGAGCCAGACAAGGAGGATCTGTTACAAGACGTGGTGGAATGTTTGTTTTTGTAGTACTGGGTTTCCAAAATCCATGGTCTTTTTGTGGCTGACAAGCCCCCTCCTTTCTTTGCCTCGTTCCTGCAGCTGTCGGGGGTCTGCACCCCTGCCTGGAAAACATGAGCACAACACAGCAAAAATGTGCATCATTCATTCATGTGCCATCAGACAATGCTTGGGAGAGTTACAAAGGAGGGGAGGAAGAAGAAACCACAATGCTGCAGTGATTTACATTATTTCTACTTTCTTTGCAAGACTCACTTTTAGCTTTAAACTGTAACAAGTATGTATTTCATAGCAGCTTTACCACACTTCAGCTTTATTGGGTTTTAATTCACACCCCCTCATGACCAGGTAAAATTTGGCAGAGTGTGTCTGTTCTAACACATACTTTAATTTTGTTTTGGTAATATTTCATATACAGAAATTATCTGAAAAGCAGGATCTGCGTTGTGGCCTGTTGCTTACGTCAGGGATTCTCCTCCACGGTTCATCCTTAATGCTTTGTGCTGTCCCAGAAGCTCCTGAGAGCACCACTGCTGGGGATTGCAAACCAGGATCAAACCAGGCCCCACACCACCCACTTTTCCTGGATCCAGCAGGAAGATCCACAAGCAGTGCTGTGACCAAAGCCATAACCCAAAGCCAAGGCCAGGCTGAGGCTGGAGAAGTCGCAGGTTTGGTTCTGAGCCACACTGTGCTCACATTTGGGCCCTGCAGCAAGCACAGGAGCCAGCACAGGGCAGCTCACGTGGAAATGCAGCTCTAGGCACTAGAACCACCTTGCTGGGCCTTCACTGACAGCACCTGCTATTCTGCCACATCCTGAGGCCCACACACAAACCTCAGTGCCCAACTGTGCAGTTTTACCATGCTACTTTCAGTGCTTTTAGGACCACAAACTTGAACAGAGGCACATTGCAATTCTGTATTCTTGGGATTTCCTTTTTGCCTGCCTCAGCCTTGAAAATTCCCAAATTAAATACAACAGTTACCCACGATGAAGCAAGTTCTCTAGATGACAAGCACTTCAATTTGCATTTTTCTTACTTGACTTGCACATTCAAAATTTCATCTTACTTTATTATGAGGGTCACTGAAGTTTTAACATAACAGCACAGCTGTGGCAATTTACTTCCTTACCAACCAAGTTCACTTTGATGATGACTGGGTGCTTATAGAGCCACTGAAAAAACATAAAAGGAGATGTACAAATATTGTAATTAGAGCAAATAGGAAAAAAACCCCTCAAATTCCTGATACGCAGATCAATCTAAAAGTCTGAAATAAGGACAACATACAAACTGGGAGCACTTTAAATATGTTTATTCAGCAGCTGTTACAACCAACCTCCAAAAAACTGGAGTCCCCTCTGGTTTCTGAACCGTGTCAAGTGATGAAAATGGCTCTAGGATGGAAGCTGGACAGTGCGCTCCTTTCTGAGATATATGTCTAACAGGGATTAATCTCTTTGAAAAGGCAAAATATAAATATATACACTCTAAATTCACAACAACAGCTTCAACTCACTACGTTAATTCAAGTGGGGTAACAGTGGACAAACCCACATCATGTAAACTGCAGTCAGAAAAATCTCTGCTCTCTCCTGCTCCAAGGTCCCGTTCCGGTTTACATTCTGGGATCTGCCTCTGGCAGAGCTGGAATACGGAAGCGCTGAAGTGTTGGATCTCAGGGGCTGTGCACGGGACCGGGGCGTGTTCTGCTCTCTACACGTTGCTCAAGGCATCCACACCAGGGAGAACCTTACCTGGGGACAGATAAAACACAACAGCATGGTTAAGGATCTCTCTCTCTCTGCTCAAACAACTTTGCAATGTTCAATGAGATGTAATTCCTAATTTAGTTTTTAAAATTATAGGTTGAAAATGGAAGTGTTTGGCTCCACATTGACCACGGTGGTTCTGTGGACCTGCTCTGAACAGTAAATCCACCCAGAGCACAGCTGCACTCAGATGTCAGCAGAGAGATTCCTAACACAGCCCAGCCATCAATCCTCACTTAACAGTAAATGGCATCTTTCTATCCAAGTCTCTGCTAGGGCCAGATCCAAACACCCAACATCCTTTTCCATTAAATTTGATGGTAAACAGATTTTTGATTGGATTTAGGGAGTTGCTGCATACTTTCTTAAATCCCTAAAGGCATGTAAATAGAATTCTGGGGAGTATAGTGGAAAAATTAAGAATTAATTAAAAGAAAAAGCCTCCTATGAGTCCCAGATCTTTAAATAACTAAAACACCCAGGTTCAGACATTTACATGTCTTTTCCAACTGGTGGAATCAAAGAATATGCTCATCTTTGAGTACAAGGGCCTATATTAATATAGTTCAACGTTTCTAAAGCATTTTTAGCTTTTTGTCCTACTTTAATAATGAACAGGCACCACTCTGGTTTTGCCTTTCCTTAGAAAAATATCCTTCTAATGCCTAAGCTGTGGAGCAGGGCTGAATTGTAACACTGTTCACAACTCACTAGTTTGCTAAGTTTTCAGGGATTTTCCCCTCTTTTTTCATCTTCAGAAGCTTTTCTAATTAGCCAGACTTCCGTTACATTTAAAAGATCACACACACAAACCCATATTTTGGGCCAAAACTTAGACAAGTTTGTGCTTTTGAATCCACAGCGTTTCCTTCGAGCCATCTGCATTCTTTCCCTTCCCCATCACTCCCTAGGCAACAGAAACAAAAGCTCTGTCTCCCACTTCACTCCTGGAAACAGCAGCTGCAAGGCAGTTTATTGAAGTTTCTCCTCTCCAGAGGAGTTGACAGCATTGGATAATTTACACACACTGGGAAACGGCAAATTACCAGAGGAAATGAAAAGTCGTTTAGAGAACAATGGAACTCGTTACAAGAATACCGTCAATCCTCACCATTTTGAATTCCAAGTACCCTCGTGCAGGTTTGTCCCTGAGCACTAGAGGGCCCCCCAAAACCTTCTGGCAGAAATTCCAGACTGTTCTGATGAGGTTTCCCTAACAGAAACTGGACATTTTAAACAGGCTGGTTGGCATATCCTGAGGGATCAGTGACAAAATCCAGCTCACTCTCGTTTTCTGTCCCAGTATTTTTGCTTTGTGGGAGAGGCATGCTGTGCTGTTTGCACAAATATTCCATTTTCCTTCCTCTCCGAGGGCTACAGAATAGCAGCAGAAAGAGCTTGTGGCTCTAAAGCTACATGTAACCAACTCCACATTCATGTCTTGACCACCAACACATGGCAAAGCACCCAGAACTCCACATTTACTCAAACAAATGAAGATAAAAGAGGATTTACCCTCTAGCAGCTCCAGGCTGGCACCACCTCCTGTGCTGACATGGCTGACTTTATCCTCAGTGTTCCACTTGGCACAGCAAGTAGCTGTATCTCCACCACCTGTAGCACAAACAGAATCCATGAGACACACAGGAAATTCAGATTTTGTCCAACTGAAGGCCCACACTGAAGGACAGAGGAGAATGTGGAGAAAGGAAAACACTGACCAGTATTTTTAACACAGTGCTGACCAGCATAAGCTTCCTTTGTGCATTTAGAAAACCAGAAACAAGCACATCTACTTACCAATAATGGTGATGCAGCCTTTTCCAGTTACTTCTACCACTTTATCCATCAGGGCTTTGGTTCCTTTGGAAAACTTGTCCCACTCAAAGACCCCAACTGGACCGTTCCACACAATTTGCTTGGCCCTTCCCACAACTTCAACAAACTTCTTCACACTCTCAGGGCCACAGTCCAGGCCCTAAAGGAAGTGAGAGAAGGCAGAGATACACTCACTGCTGACCCCCAGCTCCAATCACCCATGCCCAGCCTGAAGCTTCCCCCTCGCCCCAGACACAAAACAAGAATTTCTCTGTATGCATGGACAGATTTGCCAGCAGCTGCTGCAGGAGGGTGGAGTCTGGGGTGGTATTTATCTTCCTAACACCACTAAGTCAATTTTAAATCAATGTCAGATTCTTGAAGCCTTAGATAGAAAACTTTGCCAGCCCTACTTAAATTCCAGTCAAATAAAAGCGATTTCTACTGCATTCAAATCTGCAAGTTGGGAGAGGAATTTTGCTGTTTTAATCCAAATCTCACATTAGCTACTTTAGACTTAAAAATCTAGAACAACAGGGCTTCAATTTCATTAAGCCAACAAACTCTACACAGTTTGACTGCCCTCAGAAACATTTGCCAAGGCTCACAACTACACTTTCTACTCCTTTAAGAGAGGTGTCCTACCCACCCTGATCCTTACTGATCCTGCTGTCAGTCCCTTTCCCATCCAAACCTACCATCCAGCCAGCAGGAATGCCTGAAGCCACTGTGGCCTCCCCAGTCTGTGCATTCTCATCAAATTTGTCAGCAGTGATGAAGTCAACAGGCAGAGTGATCTTCACACCATTCTTCTCTGCCTTGGCCATCAAATCCTTGACAATTTTTGATCCCTCTTCATCAAACAGAGAGTTGCCAATCTAAAGGAAACATTTGGGAAGAGTAAGAGAGGCGTTTATTTAGCTCCTGGTTATGACAGAAGAGAACATCAGCACCCAAACTGCTCAGACAGCAATTCTGGAAATATTGTTTTCTTAAATCACATGGAGAGACATAGCAGCAATCTGAGTTTTACAAAGGGATTGTCAAGTAATTTCTCAGTGTTTCCTACTTTTGCAGAGAGCTGAGACAGCCAGTGCTCAATCCCAGAACATATAAAGGGTATTCAGACCACATTCTTCACTAGGAGCAGACACAGAATTGTTCTCCTCGTACCTCCATGTTGTTGAGCACCTTGAGGAAGGTGAATGCCATCCCACCACCAATGATCATCTCATTGACCTTATCCAGCATGTTATTGATCAGCTGGATCTTATCCTGAACTTTGGCTCTGGTGAGATAGAAAAGAAAAAAGAATGAATAATGAATATTGTGACTATGTATATCAAGGCTGTTCTAGAGAATTATCCAAAAAGGATTGTTGGGAATGGGCAAAAAGAGAATTTCTCAAGTTAGCAGGCCAGCATTAAAATTCAACTTACTAGGACATTACTGAGCCCTCCATTTGTTCTTTGCTATTTAAATATAAAAACCTCATTTGGCCCTTTAGAGCCTGACTTCCCCTGACTGCTCAGCCAAGTTAATTCACCTGATGAAATGCACCTTGCAGAACTGCAGTGCTGGACTGGGCACACACATGATGAAAACTGGCTGTAATTAAGTATTTCTGCACAGGAGCAGTCACTTGGTTGTGCATCATCCAGTCCCTTTGCACACCAGGTGCTGGGTCAGGGCAGAGCCCATGCAGCCCCAGCAGGGCCCCGTTGCATAATGAGAGGGCAGAGTGAGAGGTCGTGTCAGTTTACAGAGTGCTGAGCCTGAGCACTCCTGTACCCTGAACTGGGGGGGAAAAGGTCACTGACAATGCCTGGGCCATCATGTGGTTCTAACTGCTCCCCTGGCTCATCTGGGCAAAAAACTGCAGGGGACTGTCTCAGTTTGGGGAACATCAGAGGTCAGCAGAGACAATGAGCAGCCAGATTGTATCAGCACAGGAGCAGATGTATCAGTTAGCTCCTCTCTAATCCACATCTCAGAGTGCTACAAATCTGAAGCAGGTACACTTGAAAGGAAAGCACTTGCTGCTTAAACCAAGCCAAAACATGTCATTTGTTAGGGGAGTTAGAGAAATAGTGTCACAATGTTCTAGAGTCTCACCCGCCAAGAATTGCCAAGAAGGGTCTCTCTGGACTCTCTAGGGCCTTGGCAAAATAATCCAGTTCTTTCTTCATCAGGAAGCCAGCAGCCTTCTGAGGCAGATTGACACCTACCATGGAGCTGCAGAATTAAAGTAAAAAGTGAGGAAAGGAAAAATTTACATGTGGAAGCACCCCCATGTCTCACAGCTTTACAAAGCCAACCCTTTAGTCAGCTGCAGCAACGGGAACACCAGCATGAAAACATACACAAGGGCTTTGTTTTCCTAGTTTGATAAGGCAGCTGTACATGCTTCATTTCTGACACTGGTTTTGCACAGAAATATAGATTTGCAAGACATTTATCATCTCAGCTAGTGATCCAAGACACTGGAGGACAAATTAAAAACAGCCAAGAGCAGAGATTTCTTCTTCCAAGAGGACCACTGCTGTCTGCAAGTGCACGTGTCTAAACACACTCCATGAAAATAATCACTCTGAAGCAATTAATCTTTTGGAAAAGAAGACTGTTGTGATTGCAGGACAATTTATACAAGCTCTAAGCAAGTAATTTTTAGATCTTCAGAGCCTAAAAAAAGTCAATGCAAGTCTTAAGATTTTGTTTCAGCTTTCTCCTGTACCCAGAGACAAACATGAAAGAGCATACACCGATGAAAACTACCTCCAGTAAATCCACTACTGAGGAACAAACACATCGCAATGATAGTGAGATAAGCCCAAAAGGAAATTAAAACTCCTCAAGGGCAATATTTGATGTGTTTCCATGGCAGATATTGTTCTGCCTGTGGAAGGGAAACGGGTACCCACCTGTGAGCTCGGTGCGCAGTGCCAAAA